AAGAAGAGAGAGAAAGGGGAAGAAGAAGAGAGAGAAAGGGGGAAGAAGAGAGAGAGAGGGGTGAAGAAGAGATGGGGGGGGGTAAAAAGAGAGAGGGGGGAAAAAGAGAGAGATGGGGGAAGAGAGAGTGGGGGAAGAAGAGAGAGAAAGGGGGAAGAAGAGAGAGAGAGAGAGAGAGAGGGGGGGGGGGGAGAAGAGAGGGGAGGAAAGAAAAAAGAGGGGGGGAAGAAGAGAGGGGGAAGAGAGAGAGATGGGGGAAGGAGAGAGAGGGGAAGAGAGAGGGGGGGAGAGAGAGGGGGGAAGATAGAGATGGGGGGGAGAGAGGGAGGAGAGTGAGAGAGAGGGGGGAAGAGAGAGATGGGAGAGAGAGAGAGAGAGAGAGAGAGAGAAGAGAGAGAGAGAGGGGGGAGGGAGAGAGAGGGGGAGACTCTATTTGACAAGTGATGGAGCAACTTATCTGGGGTCCGTGGTGTCTGTGGCTGCACTGATACTTGACATGCAGTGATGGTCTCCTCTCCTGCACCCCCTCTTCATGGACAGCTTACCTCTAGGCTCTGCCCTCCAGCCCTATGCAGTGAATGGAATAGACTGCCGGCTGGCTGCAGAGAGGCCAGGTGGGCGTAGCATAGCTGCGATTGTCAGTCCGGACCTGGGCTTAACAAAGTCAGTGGGTGCAGCAGGGAATCAGCACTCCGGGAAGTCACAGAGAGGGTAAGACAGCCGGCTTGCCATTAATTCAGGAAGGCATAAGTCGAGCCCACCTTCCCTGCTCAAGACTTGCTGAGCCCGCCCCCCTGCCTAAACCCTGCCTTTCTCCTGAGCCTGCCTCCCGCCCGAGCCATGCCGAGCTCTTACGACCTGCCAAGCCCTGGTCCCTTGTCCCTTCTGCCTGGGGGCAGATACACCCCTGGGTGTCACCCCGTATGAGTGGTGTCACCCGGTGCGGCTCACACCCCCCGCACCCACCTAAGGATGCCACTGCACTTACTGAGTATGCAGCTTCTTTATCTTTTAATCCTTGCCAATGATCTAGATTGAACTGGAGCCATGACTGCTGTCCCAGGTTTCATGTTTCAGGGTGGCTCCTTTCTCTAGTAGCATTCTAGGGATCAACCTTGCATGCAGGGACTAGAGTTGTGTCTCCCTACACTGTGTGCATCAGCAGAAACACACAGACCTCATAGCCTAGGATGACAAAGCACTCCCCTGCTCTTTTCCACCCTTCTTCAGGCTTACAGACTGACTGGAGAATACTTTGAACTTTCTATGAAGAAAAGAAGTTCAGGAAAGGAGCACTGAGAGAGCAGGAGCCAGCACTAAAGCTAGCAATAAAATGTATAAACTGCAAGTGCTTAAATAAGACTCTTACCAAATAGTTTACTGGGGAATGTTTATTTTAGTGTGCTCAGTGTGTTGAACTATAAACTCCGAAGGTTTAATACTAATTTAAAGCCTTATGCTGGGTACACACATAAAGTTTTTTTCATTCAACCCAGTGGGGACTGTAGGTCACTGTACTTACTGTGCAATTGTGTACTGACAGGGGGGCTGCCCCCCAGCCAAAGCACCCTGATCAGCACTCACAGCCATTGGCTGCCAGCGATGATCGGATGCTGGTTTTCCAGCATACTTATTTGACAGAAGCAGCTTGAGAAACTGTTTCTGTTGGACAGGCAGCTGTACACACGGGCCGAAAGTCCGCTGGTTCCTGCCGAACTGACCATTTTTGGCCCGTTTCTACTCAGCCTAAAGTGTTACTGAAGGCAGATTTTTTTTTTAATTAAAATAACAAACATGTTATACTCACCTGCTCTGTGCAATGGTATCACACAGAGCTGCCTTGATCCTCCTCTTCTTGGGTCCCCTGCCAGCGATCCTGGCTCCTCTTCTTTGTGCGGTTCCATAGCAAGCCATTTGCTAGGAAACACAAACTGCATGCCCACTCCCGACCTGTGTGACTATGGAGCCGCGCTCCATAGACACACACAGCTGGACTTAGCTCCCACTTCCTCTTCACTGCATTTGACTGGCAGCAACAAGAGCCAATGTGAGGAGGAAGCAAGGGGAGAAGAGATGCAACCGTGCATAGTGCTGATCTCTTCTCCCCTCTCTTCTGTGTGAAGGGGGAGCACATGGAAACTAAAAACGATTTTTTTTACCTTAACTGCTTTCCCGCCACCCTGATTTTGCATTGCTGGGTAGGGGGAGCACGTGCGCCACACACGCCCTACCTGCACCGCAACTAGCGACCTCAGCTGTCAATCACTGGGTCCCTTTGAGCCCTATGAGGAAGTCAGAAGTGATGTAACGCGTCAGAGAGAGACTGTGCGGCAACCAGAAGTGACGAAAGCGGAACTGGAAGTGACATGTTTGGCGCCATTTTGTGTCACTCGGCAGTGGTGAGAGCACTGCAGGGCTTCACATGGTTCGGTTTCACTATCTGCAGCATTTTTGAACTTGTTATTAGTTATTCTTGTTAGTGGCTATCTATTTGGGCCAATAAAGAAGGCAATTTTGTACTGCACCATTTGGGTTTTTCTCTTTTGTGTTTTTTCCCTTACATGATCATTTGGGAGGTGATTACAGAGGAGGAAGAAGGGTGGTTGTGACCACTTTCTATGCCTGTAAATCCATTACCAACCAATCCATGGAATGATACCTGTGCATCTTGAAGAGAGTGATATCTTGGTGTACGGGAGATGGTGATTGTTTTCTTTAAGCGATTTGGCCAACCATGAAAATGGGGGGCAAATTAATTTGGTGAGTGTACACCCGAAAGGGGGGACATTTATTTTTTACACGTAGTGAAGTTGTTTGGAGAATTTGAAAACATTTTTGTGGGGCTTTATATAGGACTTTTTCACATCAAAAGTTCCATTTTGATATTTTGTTTTATTGTTTTCATTTACTATATGATATTTTGCACTACTGAACCACATTTTTTTTTTAATCACTGGGTCCCGGCCAGTGATTCTTCGTTGGCACCCAGCGATTGCTGAGTATCACTAATGGGGAAGAGACCTGTATGTAAACAATACAGATCTCTCCTCTGCCAGCTCCTGCACATTGCTTTGTATTGCTATGCATAAATATTGTTTTTTCTTAAAATTGTCAGTCTTTTTCTGTTTATAGTGCAAAAAATAAAAAACGCACAGACGATCAAATACCACAGAAAGAAAACTCCATTTGTGGGAAAAAAAAGGACATAAATTTAATTTGGGTGCAGCGTTGCATGACCGCACAATTGTCAGTTAAGGTAATGTAGTGCCTTATCGCACAAATTGGCCTGGTCAGGAAGGGGGGTAAATCCTGTGGAGGTCAAGTGGTTAATGCAAGCAATGCATTAAGGTAAGAAAATGTTTTTAGGTTTAGTATCACTGTAAGTTTATTATTTATTCAACACAGTGGAAGGTACTTCCATTGAACCTTGTGCTGGTGGCTCTTCTCCTACTTGAAATTTTCTAAAATATTTTACCTTATTAAACAAATAACTATTTATATTGAACACATTCAAATCAGCACTAGGGAATAACATTGGCATCTTTGAAGTTGTGAAAAAAATTACAGTTCAAATAATTTGATATCCTTACGAACAATAAAGCCCAGAGCTGGGGAGCAGAACTGATGATGTCTCCATTATTACTTGTCTTTTCCCCTTGTCATATCTACTATACTCAGTGGGAAGTATTTGCATTCCGCTTTTTGCATAAAATGGTAGCTAGGTAGGTGGAATACTGTGTTTAGACTAGTATTGCTTAGATATTTTTACATAAACCTACCATGGCAACAAGCAAAAGCTGAACACACTGTATCCTATGTAACACAGCAGTTATTTTAAAAACCAACAGAAGCATATTTCAAGGACTTGGAAAGTGATAATGATCTACAATTCTAATACACAGAATCTGACTTTTACACAGGCTGCCCTCCCATTCAGTCTATTATCAATGCTGTTGTCAGACTTATGTACCTTAGCAACCATTTAGTGTCTGCCACCCATCTTTGCTGATCATTTCACTGGCTTCTGCTCTCCCAGTGAATAAAATTCAAAATACTAACCACAGCATACAAAGATTTCCACAACCTCCTGCCCTCTTGCTCTCTCCCAGGAGTTGAACTTCATATATGGTAGCAATACTTCTACTGCTACTACTGCATATATGACTGCTTCCTTGGTTGTTAACCACCTTCCACCCACCATATAGTCCAATGACGGGCACAAGGTGGTTCTCTTGTTCTGATAGGATGTCATATGACGTCCTTCCATTCTCGCTGCGCATGCGTGGCTCAGGGAGTGTGCAGCGCGGCGATCGGCGGTGCGCTGTCCCTCGAACACAGCGAATCACCGATCCGCGGAAAGAGCCGAAGATGTCGGCTCGGTCATGTGATTAGCTGTGTCCAATCAGTTGCCGCCTATCAGTGCCAGTCAGTGCCACCTAACAGTGCCAGTCAGTGCCGCCTATCAGTGCCATATATCAATGCTGCCTTTCAGTGCCCATCAGTGATGCCTGTCAATGCCCATCAGTGCCACCTACCAGTGCCTCCTCATCAGTGCCCATCAGTGCCACCTATCAGTGTCCATCAGTGCATCTTATAAGTGGCCATCACTACAGCCTCATTAGCGCACATCAGTGAAGGAGAAAAATCACTTATTTACAAAATTTTATAACAAAAACTAAGAAAAAACTTTTTTTTTCAAAATTTCCAGTGGTTTTTGGTTTGTTTAGGAAAAAATAAAAAGCCCAGAGGTGATTAAATACCATCAAAATAAAGCTCTATCTGTCACAAAAAAATTATAAAAATTTCATACGGGTACAGTGTTGCATGACCGCGCAATTGTCATTCAAAGTGTGACAGTGCTGAGAGCTGGAAATTGGCCTGGGCAGGAAGGGGGTATAAGTGCCCTGTAGGCAAGTGGTTAAGGAAGCACCCATCACCTGCCTTGTGCTTAGCAACAAGTGACATCTTCAGGCCCCATCAGGGGCGGACTGACAACTCATGGGGCCCCGGGTAATAGGGGATCATGGGGCCCCTGTATCCTTGCCCAAACTCAAAAAAGCCTATGACAAAAGGTACCAGGGGCATCTCATGGGGCCCCCTACTGACCCCGGGCCCTTGGGCAGTGCCCGAGTTTGCAAATGGTCAGTTCGCCCCTGGGCCCCATTCGTTTTCCTGTCATTAATCCCCATTCATGTAAACAAAGGAACAGGGTCAGCACTATCTTTTACAGACCAAATATGGCCACATGGCCATACATAACCCACCTCTTTGCTTACATCTAATGACTAAGCCCGAGAAATGTAGTTTGGCATGGGTGGGCAATGGGAGCAGATCATATTCGCGGTCAGCGATGTGACGAATGCAGGTGTCCTCACACCGTTCTCTTCACCATCCTCACACCACGTTGTCACTTATGCAACAATGGCACTCTCAGCCCCACACTGCACAAAGATTTTTCCAGCTTGCGAGACCACAATAGAAGCATAGAAAAGTGACAGCAGAAAAACACCAGGAGTGGGCAATCAAGTCTGCCCCTTTTTTTTCAATTTTTTTTGGGGGGAGGTTGTTTTTGTTTTTTGAGGGTTTTTTTTCTCTTTTTTTTCTTTTTTTTTTGTTAACCTTTTTGTCTGAGTATAGACCTATGCTTGTTAAAGCATGTTTTAAGCTAATTACTGTTGACTGGCTCACTACCTCTGCTGGAAGTTTATTCCAAGCATCAACTACCCTTTCAGTAAAATAGTACTTTCTGAGATTAGTTTTGAACTTTCCTCTAGTTAGTTTAAGGTCATGTCCCCGTGTTCTTGATTTTGGTTTTGTGTTGAAAATACTACCCTACTGAACCTTATTCACCCCATTGATGTATTTAAAGGTTTCAAGCATGTCTCCCCTTTCCCTTCTTTCCTCCAGACTGTACATGTTAAGATCCAAATTCTAGGTGCAACAGAGTGAGAGAAATTGTTACTGGGTTTAGTTACCTATGCAATTAACTCTTTAAACTATATATATATAAGCTGTAAGTACCACCCTTTATCTTCGCGCTTAAGTGATGGTGAAAATAACCCATAAATTAAATATGATTTAACAAAGCAGCTGTTTTGAATAATAAATTATAAATAAATGAACGAGTGATTAGAATCGTTCTCATAAACAGCGCTCTGTTATACTAGATTGCCCTCAATCAAAGGGTCATAAATAAACCGATATCACATAAAAAACAACACATATAGAAGAAAAATAATAAAGAAACTTCCACCAAAGTGAAAAATTGTGAAAAAGTTCAGTTCATTGCAATGATGTGGTATTCCTTTAAGGTTGCTCAATCCACCATCAATGTGATCCTGCAGTGATTAACACCCCATTGAATTAAAACACTCACCAGATGTTGGTGAATAACCAGTTGTGGAAAATCAACCTCCTTGATGCTGAATGGTTGTAAAAAAAGACAATGGAATATTCAACCTCAGTAACACAGAACAACCTCCAACCAATGAAGTATTGATCACTCTCACTTCGACCTCCTCATCATCCAGATTTAATTATATTAATTCAACTCCATATGTGGTCAAAAGTGAAAACAACCACATAGTGTAATTCTGTTAACACATTTATTAACGTGAAAACACCCTTTAAAATGGAACTCACATTGAGTCAAAAAGTAAAGCACATTGTAGATAGTACTCCAAGCGTAGTGGCTGCCGCTTCCGCGGCCAATGACAGTCTCACCACACACTATCTCGTACGGATTCCCACAGCAATGGTCACGTGATCGCACCACATGGTCCCGGCGTGCGTGCTGACATCACAGATGGTCATTCCCTGACGCGTTTCATCATTCTGACTTCCTCTGAGGGTGTGACCATGCGCAAAAGCCCGCTCCTTATGTCATTAGTTAGATAAACTAACCCCTTACTGCCATCTTGTGGATAAATACTATATAGCTGACAAAATAGGTAAATTAGCAGGAAACCTTATAAATATTAAGATCTCGTCCTATACAATATATGTATAACGGGTCAAATTCAATTACAACCAACCAAATGTCAATCTTAATTCTTAAATGTCATATATCAATACAAATATACAAATACAGTAAAATTATATAATAAAGCTAAAATTAAAATTAAATTAAAGTATATAATAAAATAAATATTAAATTGACAATTAATGATGACATAGCAAAAAAAATGTATATAAAAAATTAATAATAAAAGTAAAAGCATCAATAATCACTAATAAAACTATTAATATCTAGCTCAATATTTAAGCCATTAGGTGTTAAGGCATCAGTAAGGTAAATTCATTTGTTTTCCTTTTGGATAATTCCCTTACCCTATTGGAGCCTCGCCAAGACTGGGGAATAGTATCTATTCCCTAAAATGTAACACAAGAAGGGTCCCTATTGTGATGCTTCCTAAAGTGCATGGACACACTATGATATTTGTATCCTATTGATATATTGTGTAGATGCTCATTGATCCTTTTTCTAAGATGTCTTTTAGTGCGACCTATATAACTAAGGCCACATGGACACACCAAAGCATATACAATGTGAGTGGTTTCACATGTTACGAAAGCTGGAATATCAAATTCCTTTCCATTTGATTTAAATTTAGTAAGTCCCCTAAACCTACTCATCACCCTATTGCATACAGAGCATTTTAGGCACGAGAAAAAAACTTTTTTATTCGCAAACATTTCCAATATACCCGGTGGGTCTATAATTTTCTTAACCACTCTATCTTCAAATGTAGGGGTCTCTCTATATATAAACACTGGTCTATCCAGTAATAATGGTCCTAATACCTTATCCATTTGCAATATATGCCAATGCTTAACAAATATATTTTCAACTTCCTTAAACTGAACATGAAAATCGGATCAAAATCCCCACTGGTGATTGTTACTATTTACATTCATTTGTTTATTCCCCAGGCATTGCTCCCTGGGTATATTATACACCTCATCTACAGTATCCTAGAGGGATTTTCGCTCATATCCCTTTTCGATTAACCTTTCCATAATTAATTTCGATTGGGTTAAAAAGTCACTATCCTCATGACAATTTCTCCTTACTCGCATTATTTGGCCTTTAGGTGTATTTTTAAGCCATGAGGGATGGTGCCCACTATACTTATCTTTATTATTTTTCTTCTATATGTGTTGTTTTTTATGTGATATCGGTTTATTTATGACCCTTTGATTGAGGGCAATCTAGTATAACAGAACGCTGTTATTGAGAACGATTCTAATAACTCTTTAAACTGCCACTACCAACTTTAACTGAAGAGTCAGAAACTTTCACAAGATTAGCAATTACAAATATTATTTTACAATAAACACACACACAGTGCCACAGAAATGTACATTCAGAAATTTATCATATACAGTAGCGCTCTTCAAGAGACAGGATTCCTTTAGTTTGAGTTAGCAAGTTAGAGACAGTTTCAGCAGTTTTAAAATAGGGCTTAATAATGAAATGGTCAAGGTCAAAATGGTGCAAATAAAATAATTACAAAAAAAAAAAAGAGAGACAACAATGCAACAGAGAAGTAAAAAGAAGTTGAGGGTGAGAATACTCAACAATGTCCTGGTTTCAGCAGAATCCAATAAATAGGCAAAGATGGTACAGTGGCTCTCTCAAATCCAGTTAGGTGTACATTGATTTGATGTTAAACAAGAGCTATAAAAATTAGGTCGCATTCCACTTTTCTTCACATCAAGGGAGGTGTTGACAGAGACCATCTGACCAATCATCCAGTCTAAGGGGAGGTTGATGGGATGTCACTATGTTTATGACCAAGGCCTAGATACAGATTTAATATCTCAGAAATACCTACTGTTTACAGACTGCTAATGTGCATATTAATTACCAGCATGAAATTTGCTTTGGAATGAATATAAATATGACAGTTTTCAGATGTCTACTTTACCTAAGAGGGATACGGGATGCCAGTGGTTGCCCATATTCTCTAATATATGGGTGCTTGGACTTAAAGCACTACATATTAACTGGGGGAGGTAAATATATCCTTGTTCTGGCTGTGCTATTATTATTTAATGAGTTATGAATATACTGATGTTTTAGAGTCTTGGCTGCTAACCAATCAGGAACATGTATTGCTACGAAATTTACAATAGGGGGGAGCTACAGATATCTGCTAAAACTCCAGTCACTCAAGCGGGCAAGTCAGACATTTTTATTAGGGTTTTCCAGATTGAAGTGTGGATTCGGCTAATAAGCTTGAGAGGACCTGCATCTGTCCTGATCTAATAAGAAGGTTCTGGTATTTGTTAAAAGTTTATGTATTATATAAACTGAAGGAAAGTGGGAGGAAAGGTCACTGTAGCTTTGCCTTCTTATCACAAAATGGCATGGGAGACGTTTGACGAGAATAAAATGGCTACTACATACACAAATATTTGTGTGCCCAGTACGCACGACCATTACAAGTGGGCTTTTTTTTTCTCTCAGTGGTTTGGCTTGCATCATTCATTGTAATAGATTTTGGTCTGCATTGCTGGACAACGTAATTGACAGTGAATGTACAATGTGGGACTTTTTGGGGTTTTTAATTTTTAATCAAAGAACTTAAAGGTCACAAAGTTTGATGTCATTATTTACTGTTTACGTTTGTTTTTTGTGAATAAGTAGGACTACTGTGATTGAAGGGTCTGGTATGGAATTTGGAGGCTGCAAAACAAGGGAAGAAAGCGCACCAGCCTAGTACATTACCTGAGAATAAATTTTATTAAATGCAAAAGAGATATGTACTCACAAACAGGGGTGGACTGACAACTCATGGGGCCTCCAGGCAATAGGGGATCTTGGGGCCCCTGTGTCCTCACCCACACTCAAACCACACCCAAAAAAACCTATGAAAGATACTAGGAGCATCTCATGGGCCCCCCTACTGACCCTGGGCCCTCGGACAGTGCCCGAGTGCCCAAATGATCAGTCCGCCCCTGCTCACAAACAACTGTGTATCGAAGGCATAACAATTTCCAAAGCGACCAAGTCACCACAGCAACTCCCAAAACGTGGCAAGACCTTCAAATGGCCAATGCGTTTCGAGGGGAGATTCCCTCTTCTTCAGAGCCACATGGAATTTGGAGGCACCCCATGCTGAGGGACCCTCTTGACATGCATACCAGATTGTCATCAAGAATTAGAATCTGGTATATTTATTTTTGAGCAGTCCCCAGTTAACATGTATACCAAATCA